GGATCTCCCAATAAAACACTTGCTCTCCCAATAACATTTTTGTTGTCAGTGATGATTAATTGATGACACTGAAATGTCAATAAATACTAGGACTTTCTAAATGAGACATTAATATTAAATTTCCAAAGATAGGAAAAACTTTAAGTCATGGGGATCAATTAATTGTCTAGCCATCTCAGTTGCTGGGGATATTGCTGATTACTTCATAAGACACTTTACCTGCTAACTCCAATCTGGATGTTTTTCCTTGAGTTTTACTTCTTCCAAGGAGCAAGAGAAGCGGTTCCTTGGCCATCCCTGTTGAAGTTGCCATTCTATTTCAATAGGCCTACGTATGCTCAGCTGGCCCTGAACCAACTAAAACTGAACATCCAAATTTCAATCTGTTTTCTGGAAAGCGAATCAATACAGCAAGTGTTTAACTCTTTCTCTTTCATTCACTGAAACATCATTGTTTCCATCTTACGGAGAGACCCAACTGAGCTGGCCTATTTGGGGATTTTCTCATTATCATGTCACCAGTAAGTGCCCGAGAAGGAAACTGGGCTCTCTTTCTCCAAGGGCTCAGTAAACATGGACTAGGATGCCAAGCTCAGTGGTTGGTACTAAGGACAAAAGGAGCAGGCACAAGAATGACAGCTGTTTAGTGTAAGAGAAAGACAGCATGAGCTTTGGGGTCAGATAGACCAGGGTGGAACTTCAACTCAGCAACCTCCTACTTAATTTGACTTTCTTTCATTTGGAAATCCCTGTAAGAGAGGAATCATACTATCAACTTCTTGAGGTTATTGTGATGGGCAAAGATGATGTGCTTGAAGCTAGCACAGAACATGGGCTTTAAAAGTAGTCCCTCTGACTAAAGCTGAATGAACAGTGTCTGCCTCACAGGGATGGGTTTGGGGGGCCAATATGTGAACACTTGACACATAATGTGTAGATAGCAGCCCTGACAGAAACATAAAAAAGGAAAGCCAGCGGGGGCCCATCCACTTGATCAGGAGGCCACAAGCAAAAATGTGACCTTGGGCATGTCATAATTCTTGGATCATAGCTCCACACCTGATTAACAAGGAGCTAGAGGATGATAACTAGACTCCAGTGAATCTGTGTACTTTGGCTCTCTGGAGGGAGTCCCAAGAAGGTGTGCCTTGCAGTTTCATGTTATGAGAAAGTCTATTCAGTAAAAAAAGCTGACAATGATACACACCCCAGTGAATAGCTTAGTAACATAAATATAACATAGTAATGACAGTTGTTATAACCTTAATGTTGTAAATGATAAAATTCTGAATGAATGCATTGTGTACTCAGTTGAGTCCAATACATCCTCCATGACTCATTTGTTAGCAAATATTTGTGTATATTCCATATAGCAATGCCACTTGGAACCCATGCCTAGTTCATAGGCGTCATGTTGCTGTTTCTGAAAGCAACGACACAGTACTCGAGCACTGATATTGGTGGTGAAAATTGGAACAAAATATTGCAATTCTGTTTCTAAGCAATTTTTAAGTACAAAGATAAAGAAAACATTTAAAAAACTTATGTTACTCTAAAATTCAGGGCAGAAATATTTCTATCACCTGTCCCACTTTATTTATTTATTTATTTATTCATAAAGAACTGGGGTGCAGGCCAGAGGTGCAGGGGTGGTGAGAGGATTCACCAGAGACAATGGGGAGCAGAATAGGCAGTCTGACAAATTACACTGCTGAGGGGAGCAGCGGGCTGGTCAGGAGAGGTCTGCTGTGCCATGTGGTCACTTCTGGGGTGGGGATTGAACTCATGCTGCAGTGGCTTCAGCTTCTCAGTGCTGTGCTTTAACCTGCTGTGCCACCAGGGAGGGCCCCACCTGTCCCGCTTTTAACAATGCATTTATTTTCAACTTCCATGGATAGTCATAAAGATGGAATTATGTAACTAAAAAAGTTTAGAAGAAGCAGGCAGAGATAGCAGGCTATACAGGCAACAGTTTTTATTTGCTTTCTTAATTCCCCATATACCTCTCTCACCTCTGTTACTTTCTTTTTTCTTCTTCCTTCGTTTTTCCAAGAGTCACCCTTTAACATACCTTCCTGTCTTCCTCCATGCTCCTAGTCAGGGCACTCAGAGAAGAACAGTCATCAAATCCCAAAAGAGTCACAATATTTTATTGAATACAAAGATAAGTCAGTTATTTGTATATTGCTTTGGAGAATATCCACAATTAGCTAGATATGGACATAACATTTTCTTTGGTCACATTTTTTTTTTTTAAGATTTATTTATTTGTGCATACAGAACTGGGGCACAGGCCAGAGGCTCAGGGGCAGTGAGAGGCTTCACCAAAGACAGAGTGGGGAACAGAACAGGCAGATCTACAAAGTACACTGCTGAGGGGAGCAGCGGGCGGGTCAGGAGAGGTCTGCCCCGCCATGTGGTCACCTCCAGGGCAGGCAGGAATTGAACCTATGAGGAAGCGGCTTTAGCTTCTCAGTGCTGTGCTTTAACCCGCTGCGCCACCAGGGAGGGCCTGATCACATATTTTTAAGAACACATTTAAATCTAAGCCAATTCATCCCAAAATGTGTTTTCTGGAACACTAGCATCCTTGGAGATGTTAACAAGTCTTGAATTTTAAAACCTTATGGTTAGAACCCCATGGGAAAACATAAAAGGGCACATTGTGAACTGAGAGTTCCTGTGTGAAGGAGACCAATTTAGCTTCCTTTGTTCCAGAAATTCACAGGTCTATTTGAGTATAGAACTACTATTGATAAATGGATGGATGGATGGATTGAGTAACCTTTTTAATGTCTGGGGAACAAGTCTTGGGTAACACCCATCTAATACAGTAAAGTTTTTTTCCCTACTGAATTAAATAAAAAGTTGAAAAAAAGCAACTATTCCATCTCAGTGGCCTGCCCCCTTGATGGAAGCAGGCTTCAGGGGCTCCCTGCTGGCTTTCCTACACACTCATTTTTTTTTTCCATTTTTTTTTATTACAAAGTTTATTTTTACATCATTTTGCACATTTTTTTTTTCCATCTCGACCTACACACTCATTTTGACAAGCTCACTACCTCCTGCTCTGCTGCCCAGGGTGAACAGAAGCTTGTCCACCACCCCATGATGATGCTGAAGACCTTAACAGGGACTCACAAAAGCAGTTCTAGGCCATTCTGAGTAATCTGAGTCCAACAAGCTCCTGGGCTTCACTGCATTTTGTGGACAGCCACAATGTCTTCTTCCGGTAATAATCAAATTCAGGTGGTTTGCTTCATTCTCTTTTTGAACAGAGGCAAATAAACACAGTTGGAGAGCTCTATTCTAACATAAAGCTGAAGAGTAAGGCACTCTCTTAATTCTGGCAAAGATCTTGTGATCACGAAACAATTTTTTAGAGAGGTCATCTAAGTTATCACTTTTAATCACACAATTTTGTCTGTGGAGAGCAGTGCTGATGAATGTAAACACTGAAATTTTAATCAGAAGTTTTAAAATTTCACTGACAATATATGGTTCAAAACAGCAAATTCTTCTATAGCAACATTGCTTGCTTATTTTAAGTCAGATCTTGAATGAGTTTGATATTCAATTAGCATTAATACTGAATGTTTTGATGTGTGCAAAGCACAAACACTTTATCATTTTCAAGGAGTCTGTAGGCAGTTACCTTTTTCTTAGGATTGTTGTAAACCTGGTGGCATTTCCAGGTAGTTGTTTGTAGCATTGACTTGCCTGTATCTTAGAGTCATCAGGAAGGTCCATCAGAATTCTGAGACTCAACACAAAATACAACACTCTATGCATGAGAAAAGGCAATAGAAAAAGGATGTAACTCAGGGTAAAATATTTTAGACCCCAAATAGAAAGAGTTGCTGGTAAGGAGTACACAAGACAGAAGGACAGGGTTGGCAGGCTTCTGCTGCAGGCACCGAGGACCTGGGAGGACTCGCCCAGGCCTGTGGTCAGTCTCATGAGTGACTTCTGATTATTGGGTATTGTCTGAATTTTCCTACTTGGGAAATTATCCTGGGTTTGTCTTCATGTAAATCATTGTGTGGGATTCCAGTTTTCCTACTTTAGGGACTTAGGAGTTAAGGTTAACCTGAGTAAACCTTCAATTAACCTGAAAAACAGACAGAACCACATTCTGAGTTGTCAAAGCTGAGGCCCCCAACCCGCAGTCACTTCACAGAGATCTGTTAGGGGCTGGTCAGATAGATGCCTTGCTCCCCAGTTTCACCCTTTGGTTGGGGGGCAAACAGAAGTCCCCAGACCAACCAAAAATGATTAACCCAGGGCTTGATTTTCTTCATAAGTTCTGCTGTTTCCACATTCAGATGCTGCATCCTAGGAGATTTTTCCTATCCGCTGGATGCTTCTGGAAGTTTGACAGCTCTGAGTTTAGTACTTAGTGACTTTGCTGGAGTCAATAAACTCCAAACTTTAACTTCCTCCTGTAAAATGTAAACTCCAACTACACCATTGTAAGGAAAGAGTCTGCATGAATGTCGATGTCTGGAAGTCATGGTCCAGTGCCTGTGTGTTGGGGTGGGTGGAGGGGGGTTGAAAGGGGAAAGGGGAGGGAGAACTCCAGATCTTTTCCTTAAGGTAAGGGAGAAGAAGAGAACATTACCAGATCATTTTATCATGGGAGAAGCTTTGCTGGACAGACTACAGGCATAAATGTGGGGACTTGTATCTTGACCTTAGAATGGGCACCAAACTCGTCGCGCCTGAGAGTGCCTAATCAGGTGCTGTGGGAGACTCGGGGGGTGGCGGAGTGAATCTTTGAGGGAGCCTCTCGCCCTTCACTTCTTTCCCAGCAGCGCACCCAGAAGCCGTGGTTTCTAAGTGTGAGAGCGTCCATGGCAACCGCCTCAAGCAGGTTTTCCCTCCGTTACTCCAGCTCCCGCCGCCAATGACCAATGGGCTCCCGGCGAACGGGCAGGTGCGGCCGTGGAGTGGTCTGCGGGCGCTGACGTCACAGGTGGGCAAGGCGGGGCCAGGGCCGGACCGGTGGGAAACAACCTTCTGTGGGCCTTAGGCGGTGGGGTTGAGACCCTTCGGGTCCCGCCCTTCCCCTCGCTCGCCCCTCATCCACAGACAGGTGAGTGGCCTGTTGGGATTTCTGCCTGCCGCTCGCACGACCCCTCCACAGAGCGGGTTCCGCGGTCAGGGCTCCGACGTCTGACCTCAGAATTGGGGCTGAGGTGGTTAAAACCCTGGAATTTCCCCCCACGGTCTTCTCTCTCCATTCCTCCTTTCTCCCAAATCAAAGTCCTAGCCACAAGCAGTCCCTAGCTGTACCCCACCCCACCCACGCCTTCATGACTTACATTTCTAATGTTTTAGGAATTGAGAAGTTATTTCTAAGCGTAGAACCAAAAAAGGGTGCTGAAACCCCTGCTGGGCAAACTCGTGTCATTTCTTACACTTTCCAAGAGTGTGCTGTGCTTCTAGGGGTGTCCCCACTGTTCTCCCTTTGTCCTTGGCCAGAGCTCCCAAGGGCAGCC